ACTGTCTCTGTGCTAATTTTGATGTTTTTGTGCGTATTTGTTCAAATCTGTAATATTTGATCTAAAAACATGTTTTTGCTGCTCATATGGGTAGAGCAGTGGTACTGCAGGCTAATTTGCATATTGGTTAACGGCTCTCCACGGTGACATGTCTTCTCCATGGTTTCATCACAGCAGCCGTGTTCTGATATAAAAGCCTCTCTCTAAGACATGCCCCTGCAGCAGTCAGAGGGTGGAACAGCTAGCAAGCATAGCATCAGGCGCGTCGTTAGACCTGGGCTTCCGGGGCTTTAGCCCCAGATGTTTTCTCAGTAGCCCCGGATCAAAACGACACCTGCTTTCTCACTGACCGCCTGTCCTCCAGGAGCGGGATGGTATGATTGCGTCACCATCAGCTGTTTGTGCTTCCAAGCTGTGTGTGTGGGAAGAGGCAGAGCGCTCTGGGAGGAGGAAACTGACTTTTTTTCACCAACATCTCACAGCAGCGGGAGCGAATTTACTGTAACAACTCTATGCTGGCTGTAAAGAGCAGTGTTGTAGCTTGCAGACACAGTCAAATTTTTTCTGATGGCACAAACTGTCGCAAAGTTATGGTCTTTCAATTCCGACGTTTGTTGAAACTCTCATCATGCGACTGACACATAAAATGGATTCATGCTCTTCTGTCGAAGTTCAGGTACGTTTTTCAGCCAAAATCATCATTTATTAGAACTGAAAGTCTTTGTGTATGCTGGTGATGGATGGGGTTGCTTGTTTGTTTACATGCGTAACTTTACATGTGTGTGTGGGGGCACGTTTTTGCTACGTTGAGGGAAACATTTTTCAGAAAAAAGCAGCCTTGTGGAGACCGAATGTGGCCCTTCGAAGGCCACCATAATGCTCACGTGGCCCTCGGTGAAAATGAATTTGACACCCCTGGTCTAAAGACAGACAGATAAGAGCAGCTCAGTTCTAGAGGACAGCTGTTCTGCTCCTTCCAGCTGTAGACTTGTGTGGATCTGGTTATGGTTTCCTGTTATTTAATGTTATTTTTTCATAATGCTAAAATTAAAAGGTGTTAAACNCCTTCCAGCTGTAGACTTGTGTGGATCTGGTTATGGTTTCCTGTTATTTAATGTTATTTTTTCATAATGCTAAAATTAAAAGGTGTTAAACTTTAGAGAATATTTCTTAACCAAAGTTTTTACTGATAAACTTTAAAAGTGTTGAATGAAAAAATAAAATTACATTTTTTCTTAAAAACATTGTGCACCAACAGTCAAAACAGAGAATAATTAATGTAATGTGGGAGCTATAATAAATTTAAAGTTATGACATAACATTGATGAGGTGCACATTGTCTCTCATTAGTATGCTTTTTGTCCCACATTCATTTTTGTCAGGATCTGGCCACCCTAACTGGAAGTTTCACAGCTCCTGATGGAGAGCCACCATAAAGCCTGGACCAAACAGGGCAAGTTCATTTACTTTTGTAGTTTTTCTGTGTCAGTCAATTTCTCAGAGCTTTCCAAAACAAAAACAATATAAGGGCACAATTTTCAAATATGATCTTATATATAGTTCAGCTCAAAGACTATGTAGACTATGATGATATTTGCTATGATATTTACAGTAAGTACCATACCAGTACCATCATACTGTAAAGGTTTTATGTTTTTGTAAATGGGTGGCCATCTCTTAAAATGCACTTCAAATGGCTGGAAAATGTAGAGTTTTGAGTATATTTTTTTCAGAAATTTCTGGGGTCTCAGCATCTGAAACCTCCTAGACTCACTTTGTTCTGCTGGTGCTCCTAGGTGAAACTTACTGTTATCACTACAAATCACTTCTATACAACTAGTTAAATTAAATATATATGTACAATATTGTTTTTAAAAGGTTAAACTGTTTTGTCACCATGAACAATCTGATGTTTAGTTGAGTTTAGTTAAGGTGTTGGAGCTGTTACTGATACAGCAGATGATTCTGGCAATGATTAAATGATGGTCTGGCTACAATTAGCCTCCTATCTGGTGTCTTTACTTTCCTCTGTGGTATTTCTGCATGTACCAGAACACATATGTCAAAAAATAGAGGAGCTGGGTTAAAATTTGAATTATTCTCTTGTTACATAAAATAAGCAAAAAATGTGAGAGCATGTTTAGTTGACTTTAAAAATGAAATATCAGCAACATGTAGTTTTTACAACTGCTCCTTACTGCTGGCAGAAATTATTTGTAACAGCACATTACAATTACCATTACTACATATTTTATATAAAAATCAATTTTATCCAGTGACTAATATGATGATCAAACAAACAACATATAACAATAATATTTTTAAAAATGGATAAATACAGACGTGAAAAAGCACTTTTTAAAGAGGGACGAGGAAGAAGAAGATGTCTGGGCTAAAGCCTCTGATGTTTCAAGAGCCTAAAAACGCCCCTGCATAGCATGATCGTCTGTTGACCTTCAGCCTCGGGTGGGGGGAGGAGCTGACTGCTGCTGCTCTCACTCTCTCTCCCTCTCTCTCTCTCCACACACGTGCACACGCACACATGCACGCACACACACACACACACACACGCCCCTGCAGCAG